AAACATTTTTAGAGTGCATCGAAACAGGTTTAGAGTGCATCCAAACATACTTAGAGTGCATCCAAACACACTTAGAGTGCCTCCAAACACGTTTAGAGTGTGTCAAACACTTTTAGAGTTCATCCAAACATATTTAGAGTGCATCAAAATATTTTTAGAGTGCGTCGAAATATGTTTAGAGTGCGTTGAAACATGTTTTGAGTACAACAAAAGATGTTTAGATTTCGTCGAAACATGTTTAGAGCACGTCAAAACATATGCAGAGCGCATCCAAACATGTTTAAAGTGCGTCGAAACATGTTTAGAGTGCATCCAAACATATGAAGAGTGCATACAAACATGATTAGAGTGCATTAAAACAATTTTAGAGTGCGTCAAAATATATTTAGAGTGCGTCAAAACGTATTTAGAGTTCGTCTAACCATGTTTTGAGGGCAATAAAACACGTTTAGAGTGCATCAAAACATGTTTAGAGTGCGTCAAAACATACTTAGAGTACATCCAAATATGTTTAGAGTGCATCGAAACATTTTTAGAGTGCGTCGAAACATGTTTAGAGTGCGTTGAAACAAGTTTTGAGTACAACAAAAGATGTTTAGATTTCGTCGAAACATGTTTAGAGCACGTCAAAACATATTCAGAGCGCATCCAAACATGTTTAAAGTGCATCGAAACATGTTTAGAGCGCTTCCAAACATATTTAGAATGCATCCAAATACACTTAGAGTGCATCCAAACACGTTTAGAGTGCATCCAAACATACTTAGAGTGCATCCAAACACACTTAGAGTGCCTCCAAACACGTTTAGAGTGTGTCAAACACTTTTAGAGTTCATCCAAACATATTTAGAGTGCATCAAAACATTTTTAGAGTGCGTCGAAACATGTTTAGAGTGCGTTGAAACATATTTTGAGTGCAATAAAAGATGTTTAGAGTTCGTCAAAAATGTTTAGAGCACGTCAAAACATATTCAAAGCGCATCCAAACATGTTTAAGAGTGCATCAAAACATGTTTAGAGTGCATGCAAACATGTTTAGAGTGCATCTAAACATGTTTAGAGTGCATGCAAACATGTTTAGAGTGCAACGAAACATGTTTAGAGTGCGTCGAAACATGTTTAGAGTGCGTCGAAACATGTTTAGAGTGCGTCGAAACATGTTTAGAGTTCGTCGAAACATGTTTAGAGTTCGTCTAAACATGTTTTGATGGCAATAAAACAAGTTTAGAGTGCATTAAAACTTGTTTAGAGTGCGTCAAAACATACTTAGAGTGCATCCAAACATGTTTAGAGAGCATCCAAACATTTTTAGAGTGCATCGAAACAGGTTTAGAGTGCATCTAAACATACTTAGAGTGCATCCAAACACACTTAGAGTGTGTCCAAACACGTTTAAGTGCGTCCAAACACTTTTAGAGTGCATCCAAACATGTTTAGAGTGCATCGAAACATTTTTAGAGTGCGTCGATGCATATTTAGAGTGCGTCGAAACATGTTTTGAGTGCATCGAAACATGTTTAAAGTGCATTAAAATAGACTTAGAGTGCATCTGATACACGCACGGTTCTCTAATGGAGCAAGTCTCAGGATAGATTGGAGATTCGGTAGGCTTATGGGCTTCTCACCAAACGATTCCAAGGGATAGTGATGGAGAAGTGTTCTAGGCTTATGAGCACTCAGATTACACTTCAAGAGGAATGGAATGGAATGGGATAGGTGACACCACAAAGAGGGATGGAAAACTCTTTGATTTCGTCACTAACTCTTTGGCTAGGGCTTAGGAATCTCTCTCAAACCTTAACACAAAGAAAAACTCGAAATTGCTTGTATTTGCTCAAGACAACACGAGAATAAGAAGAACAAATGCTCCAATTTTTATTTCTGAAAAGTCTGCTGAAAAATGACATAGATGCAGCCTTTAAATAGGCTAACAAGTGAAAGGAAAAGAGGGAAATTTCGTGCAACAAGAAAAGGAAAAGAAAGATGGCGAAAATACATAAAAGGAAACAAGAATTCTGCAGCAATCTCCTTGTAACGGCTAGTGATGAATATGGCAAGAAATCAATCTCCAATTCAGCTATGGTAAGTCTTCAATTCTGCAGAAATCTAGCCAAAGCTCCCATGAATGATGCTCCAGGATTCTCTAACGGTTATGAGGGATTGGGATCAGACTTCTTGACTTCAAGAGCTTGTTGTGGCAACAAAATTCAGGTAGGGTCGTGGCTGTTCAGGTGTTCCACAACGAATGATGATGAATCAGGTGTTGGACAACAAGAGCTCAAAAACGAGCAGGCTCTTGTTGCTTAATCCGCAAGCTTCTTCGGTTCTTGGATTGTCTTCAAGGGTCTTGGCCACGAACTTGTTGATTCTTGAACGCAGGCTCCTTGCTCGTTCCCTTGTGAGTGGTGGATCGGGAATGATCGGAAAGACTGGTTCATTGGTTGTCTCTCCTTGCTTGTCCTCCTCCTTGGCTCCTTTGTGCTCCTCAGCTCCTTTGTGCGTTCCATGGTTTCCTTGCTCCGCTTGCTCCTCGTTTAGCTCATCTAAGTGGATGACCTCATCATCTCCTCCCCCTTGGGAAGGTTTTGACCTCAAAACAGAATCTCCTGCATCAAAAGGAAGCAAGTCAGCTATATTGAAAGTAGAAGATACGTAATACTCACCGGGAAGCTCCAAACGGTAGGCATTGTCGTTGATCTTCTCAATCACACGGAATGGGCCATCTCCTCTTGGTGCTAGCTTGGATGTTCTCTTGTTTGGAAAGCGCTCCGGCCTTAGATGTAGCCACACCCAATCTCCCTCATTGAAAGTGATCTTCTTTCGCCCCTTGTTTGCTTGTCGTGCATATTGCTCCGTTCTCCTTGCAATATTCTCCCGGACTTTTGCATGCAACTTCATCACACTCTCGGCCTTTTGCTGCCCATCAAGGCTGACCATTTCCTTGTTTGGAACCAACTCGTTCATGCCTGTGTCGAACACGAGGCGCAACAGTCCAAGCAAAATCGTTTGTTAGAGTGCATGCAAACATGTTTAGAGTGCATGCAAACATGTTTAGAGTGCGTCGAAACATGTTTAGAGTGCGTCGAAACATGTTTTGAGGGCAATAAAACATGTTTAAAGTGCATCGACATTCCCCCTCAAGATTAGGTTGGAGAAATTTCGAAAAGCTAATCTTGTCAAGAGAATGCGTTTTTCGTTCTTCATGTATCCAAATGCATTCCATTGCGATTTTGATTCCAAATTTCCATTGAGT